TATGAACTCATGGAGGGATGGTGGACATACCTTGCACTGAAAGGACGTCTTACTGGGATCCAATTTTCAACTTTCACAGGAGAGTAAGAATCAATGGCAGGTGCAAACCAGTGAAGAAAAAAAAGAAAGAAAAAAACAAGTAAAGAATTGTGAAATCTGTATGAAAGGCACAAGGAGAAGGTTAACACAGGAACTGAATGTCTAATATAGAATAAGAGGTAAATTTTACAAGGTAGTATCCAAAAATCAAACAGCAGCATTAGCCAAGTAATTTTCAGAAAGAAGGTGTAGCAAGATAAGTCTCATAAATGAGTTTATCCTTTCTGAAGGTCTGATCCTACGTATGTTAACTGGGCAAAATGCCCTCTGACTTCCTGAAAGTCTGAACTGTCTCCCTAAGATACTTAGGTATGGTGCAATAGTATCCCTGCCTAAATCAACATGTTCTTGCTTTTTGGGTTTTGTTAGTTGTTTCTAGAGATGTCATAGATTTGAAAAGAAGATACAAAATCTGAAAGTGAATTTCTAAGTTGAGTATTAGAATTTCTAAGTTGATCATTTCATTATGAGCCTGTGAGCATATTTAACGATACACCTAAATTTTCAGCATTAATATAAAAGTTGCTGTATCTTTGTTAATACTATGCAAAAGCCATAGAAAATTATAAAGGCTAGCTTTTCTATTTGCTATTTCTGTAATCAAGAGAACCATAATCAGGGCATACATCAGGTCTTTGGAGGGTTTTCATTATAGTTAACAGGGGCTTTTCTTTCTCTTTGGCAAAGAAATGTAAGAACATATTAAATGTCTGTGTGGTACCCCAGACATTCCATTTTCTGGGGATGTGATTTTGGTGCTGCAGTAGTGAAGGGTTGAGATGATACGGTATTTTTAACGTATTAATGACATGCCAAATTAAAACAAGATCTTAAATTTTTAGGTGACAAACTGAAATCTCTTCACTGAGACTATAGTTCTTGATTTGCACAGTGTGAAATGCTCACTTTGGAAATTCTCATTGAAACCCTTTTCTCAACCCAAAATTAAAATTCTCTTCAAGCATGGTTCTTACACTGAAGTTTAAAATTTCATGAATATATAGAGATTTATTGGCCTACTACTGAGCATGTTACTTGCTATACTCAGTATCTGCTAGCTGCAGCAGGGTGGGTGCTGCGACCCTACCGGCAGTGTGAGGCAGCCTCAGCGTTGGAGGTTGCGGTCTGTACAAGCCCCTGTCGTGTGCATGGAGTGGGGCACCTGGAAGGGGCGGCCAGATGCCAGTCGCCCTCTCCCCGTGCCTCTGCAAGGCCACTGTGCCAAGCGGTCCTGGGAAGGAGCCACAGGTAGGCTGACCAGTGCAAAAGGAGCAGAGCAGAACTCGAGAGACTTATTTATCTGACATCAACCACTGAATTTCCATGTAAGTTTTTAAAAAGTGCAGGCAGCAGTCACTATTGAAAACAATGCTTTCATGGGTGGTCACTTAGGTAAAGCAAGATACAGGATAAGTAAGGTTTTGAGGCCTTTTGTTTCTTGGATTTTAATCTTGATCTTGTCAGTTTTGGGATTTTCGAAGGCCAGAAGCAGGTCTAGTTTTGTGGACACCTTTACCTCCAATCTTCTTGTTAAATCAACAAGGTGCCATGGTGTCCACAAAACCAGACCTGCTTCTTCACAGTCCGGTTATAACTTTTGGTTTTACCTTTATGCAGAGGCAGAATAGGGTCCGCCGTAGACCCAGGGCAACAATGTGACTTGGCCATGATCCTGCTTCAACCAGGCCAGATCCCGGGAAGGCTGGGCTGGTGGCTGGTGCTGGGAGAGGGGAAAGCAGCCCATTTCTTCAGAAAGAGCGCTTCTGTTACAACCCCTTCCCACCCCTCTCTTCCCTTGCTGGGGCAAACCCCTGATCCTTGTCAAAGTAGTATTGCATCTTACCCACGTTGAACTGATTCTGGTCAAGGTGTAGCTGGCTTGGATTTGAAAGGAGAGTCAAATGCGAAAGTTAGAGAAAGGGGTAAGTGTCTTCAATTTAAAAACACATAAAAAGGTTACATGACCATCTGCAGACATAGCTGGTACATGAATGCTTTCTGGTCCACTCCAAGTGTGTGCCTTCTGGATGCCCCTGTGCTCACTGAAGATTTACTGTTGCTGGGTGAGGCAAATAGACTTCTGAATTTATTTCTTTTAACAGACATAATCACTACAGCTTTGCTGTTTTAATAGCTAAATAAAAGGGAGATCTCAATAGACAGAAAGTTTGCCATAGCCTAAAGAGACATACTTCAGTCAGTAAGTCTGGCTGCCAAAAGACTCTTGTTTAAGCAAGAGTAACGTATTGGTAGGATGTGGCTTTGCTTCAGTTTTACATGAAATTATTCGTGTAAAAATGTCTGCTGAAGCTTAACTCTGTCACAGTCCATGAAGGTGGCTGTAGTCAAGTTAGATGTAGAAGTTATTCTAAGGTGTTAGTTGTTTGGGTTTTTTGGTTTTCTTTTAATTGATCTGGGTAACAGTGGCCAAACAAGCTTATTTGTGAATGTTTAACTAAGTCATAGATTTGTCTCATTCTCATATTCTGACTACGGCACATCTGTGTTCATTGTGATAAAATTCAAAAGGAAGTAACAGTCTGCTAGGAAGATAATTTGAGAAATGAATCAGAGTGACTCAAAAAGCATGTAGGTGTTAGGGTGACAGCTAGTTTCAGTTCATATAAATACCTATTTTGATAACAAGACAAAGGAGAAAACAGAAAAGTTTTCAAAGAATTTAAAAACAAACACGATTTCCATTGAACTGTCTTGCAAAGGAGAGGAAGGGAAATGCAGTGGAATATTTTGCAAAGCAATCTACATTACAATGAAGTTCTTGTTTTCACCAGTATTAGTGTTGTAGGGTTTTTTGCAATTCCCCATATACTGTGTCGAAAGCTAGCAGCATATTCTGCGGAGTGACAGTACTTAAGAGGATGCTGTGTCAGTATACAATTACATTTTTGCTTTTTCACTTGAAAATATTTCCAGTGCTTTCTCTAACTTGTTTTTTTACTCTTTTTCTCACAAGGCACCAAATTTTGGTTTTGAACTGTGTGTGTTTTCTGTTAAAATGTGATGTTTTCTTTGTCTTCCTAACACTGAATTTCGCATGATTTGTGCATGGGATGTTTCAGTATGCTAACACTGTTATGCATTTTAACTGATGCAGTTTCATGAAAAGGTCTGTATGTGTCTTATTACTCATTTCTTAAAGAAATACATCCTAGCAATTAAACAAAAGCAATACTTGTAAAATGTTGCTATATATGTAAGTTAACGTAATCACAGAATCATAGACTGGTTTAGGTTGGAAGGGACCTTTAAAGATCATCTAGTCCAACCCCCCTGCTGTGGGCAGGGACATCTTTCACTAGGTCAGGTTGCTCAAAGCCTCGTCCAGCCTGGCCTTGAACACTCCTGATGATGGGGCGGTAGATAAGTGGGTGATCCCATTTATCTATGTTTGTAACAAAGTTATAAGGTAATACTTGTTATTGTAAAATTATATACTTCAGAACCATAAGAAAAATTAAAAATAAGGCAAAGATCTGATACAACTTTAAAATTTTCAGGTGTTGTAACTTTGACAAGCATTAGGTCAGACCAGACTGCTGTAATTGTATTTAAAGCTCACTGTATTTCATTTGCTGACACTTTTGAGATAAAATGCTTAAAGTCCCTTTCATGGTCCTATAATATATTAAATATTTATTTACTTAAAATGTAAATGTGCATGTTAATGAGAAATTATTGGGAAATCTATTATGAAAACCTGTCTCTTGAATATGTGGTTCTGCCTACAGTTTAGCATATGAATTTGACCCAGCTAAAAATAGTCCTGGACTCGGGCCCACTCCTGTTGGCAAAAGTATTCTTGTCTTGGGACAGGGGGAAATGGGAGCCACCATGAGTTCACGTGGCACTTCAAACAAAATTTCCTTCTGAGCAGAGCCAGCATTTAATTTGTATTTGTTTCCAGGCCAAAAATCATGTGGATATTGGTCCTCTGGCCCTTACAGTGATAATCCATTTGCCATTAACTGGACTTCGGTTCAAAAATATTGCATGTTCAATAAGAATCATAAAGCAGAGTGGATCTCCAGTGCACGGTGCTGTAACAGAAAGATAATGGGCTGCAAGAGATATTAATAAGATTTTTGAGTCGCAAAAACGTTAAGTCAGTTTAAATCTATTGGTTAAGCCGCTCAACAACTGGTAATGCATTAATCTTGAGCTGTGGTGTGCGAGCACAGCCGTTGCTGGTGTGCATTAAGACATCTATGTGATGTCTAAGCACCTTGTGCTTAGTTAGCTCTTTTTCAGACTGAGTTAGCAGTAGCAGTCCCCTAAGTCTTACTTAAGGTGAAATACACAGAAGATGGGTTAACGAAGAGTACACAGCAACTCTCAGTAGCAGATGTCTGGTGTTACCTGCTTTATGGATACCAGGACTACAAATTTGGGACGGCTATGGCTGTCTGTTTCTTCTGCAATAGAGCCATCCGTCTCATTTTGGACTCTTGAGCCTGGTTTGACCCTCCTTCTGCTGGTGGATCTGATTGACTTCTACCCCTGTAAGGACTGCGAAAGCCTCACTCAGTAGTGATTGTGAATCTTAGCTTGACTATTCCCATGCTTCTGCACTTTTTTCATTTCAGGTTAGTGCAGTTAAAACCCCAAGTGGAAAAGCACTGCTACGGTCTGTTTAACTGGTGTAAAGGTCTTCTAGTCCAGAAGTGGCATGCCATTTAGAAATTTGTTTGACGGTTATTTACTTCAATGGTTTTGAAAATGACAATGTTGTTTGGTTCTTTTTCTCATTCTTTTTGAACCCCTGTTTTATATGTGTGTGATTTTTGGTTGTGGTTTTTTTTTCCCCCTCTGCCTAGACCTGGTTAACCATTTCTGTGAACAGGTCCTCAATTTTTTACTTTGTCCCTACTTTCCTGTCGTAGCCCCATCTTCCCCTGGTGTCGACTCCGTACCCTTACAGCGCACAGGCAGTCAACACGGCACACAGAATGCAACAGCGACCTTCCAGAGGGCCAGCTATGCGGCCGGCCCAGCCTCCAATTACGCAGACCCCTACCGACAGCTGCAGTATTGTCCTTCTGTTGAATCACCATACAGCAAATCTGGGCCAGCCATCCCACCTGAAGGGACCTTGGCTAGGTCACCTTCCATTGATAGCATTCAGAAAGATCCCAGGTGGGTGAAACCTTCATTGTCTACTATTTCTTGCTCGTGTGGAGGTTTGTAATTGCGGTTTGCTTTGTATGTTTCTGCTGTTGGTTGAATATAAAAAAAAAAAAGAAAACCCGTGATTGTACATGAAAGATTTTGTTTGCATAACAGCTTTGTCCTAATGCTTTACCTTGGAAGGCTCTCATGAGCTCTTCTGTGAAACAAAATGACAGGAGTGGTCTTGAATGTGTGTGTTTAGCCTGCTTTCAGTAGTGCCACCCCTCAAAAGCTTATGAAAAGTAATTTTCTCTGAAAATGGGAGGAGTGGTATGACTGTTTTGACTCTGTAACCACTGTGGATTGAATTTTCAATCCTTGGGCAGAAGTCATTACAGTTCTTGGTTTGTCTGCAGTTAATATTCATAAAAGCTGCAGAAAAGGATATTCTGGTATTGGGCAATGAGACTGAGCAATGTGGAAGCAACACGTAATCAGGCTTCACCCTGTGCGTTGTGCAGCCTTCCAATGCCAGTACGTAGTAACAGAATGTGTATATTACAGCTTTGCAGAAATGGTTGTTACTGTGCATGCTTTTTAAATATATAGCACAACTTCTAATGTTGCTATGAGGCATGACCATCCTCATATACCTAGGGAAGGTGCAAAGAGGAAACTTTATAGCCATACATAGCCCAAGGAGGCAGATGGATTAGAGAGAGTGTTTTCTGGCAAATTATTTTACTTCCATGTTAACAGCAATGGAAATGCTAACTGTAATCCTCAATGCACTTGGTGATTTTGTTCAGTTTTCTGATGGAAAAGAAAGCAAGTCTCTTTGGTGACTTCAGTTTAAACTTGAAAGTGTTAATTTATACAGGGTTTTTCTATGGCAGACGGTGTGATTTATTTATTTATTTTTGCTATGTGTAATTAAATGACAGGAGAGCCCAAAAATTTGCCCCAACAAAAATGCTGGAGGTGTTTAAGCAACAATTTGAAAAGACTTCCTTCCCTGCATTAAAAACCAAATATTCACAACCTGCTCTCTCTACTTGTTTAGCATTATAGCAGTTTTCTCTGTCTCTCCAGCCGGGAACACAACAGCATCTAAATTTTATGGCACATCAGAAACATCACTGCTTGTAGCTACTTCTGCCATTGCAGAGTTTTACTTATTGAGAAAACGTCTTGTCTTCAACTTCTTTTTTTTTTTTTTCCCCCCCTTAGCTTTTCCTCCAGAAATTTGAAAAAATACAAATTTAATTCCTCCCCTTCTTCCCCTTGCCCCAGAGCAAACATTGGTAACCAGAGGGAAACAGTCTTTTTCTGAAACCTTGGTATTTTGATATATTTGTATTCCAGAATATGAAAGCCCATGGAGAAAAAAGAGCTTTGCTTTGTAATTGTCTCGTGTTCAAACTGAAAGACAATTACGTTAGGAGTGCACTAAACCAGAGGAGAAATGACTGTAGTCTATATGAAATGTTCTTAGGAGAAGCATGATGATGTTGAAGGCACTATTCCCTATAGCCAGGAAAGACACATTTACAGTATCTCTACAGTCCTAGACATAATATCTTTTTAAGAAAAGGTTATCTGTTTAGTTGCTCTGCTGTCACTTCACAACTGTTAGTAGTTAATATATAGGATATGTGCTTGTAAAAGAAGATTCCCTCTTGCAAATTTTTCATTTGCCTGCTTTTTGGTTCTTTCTTGTCTTGTGATACCATTTCATGAGTATTGATTTCTGTAGGTAAAGTAGGAGCGAGCAGGCGTCCAGGTATAAATTAAACTTCATAAACTCTTTAGAGGGGATCATTAAATATTATTACTAATTACTATTAGATGGATTGGGATTTTGCACAAAATAACTTTTGTAAAAGAGGTTTGCATTACTCGTGATCTCATTCATTTGATCCATAGACTGTGTGTGGTGTCTCTTACGTAGTATTGCTGCCCTTACTTGTTGGTTCGAATAATTCTTATAAAGAAATGTCAGAAGCACACCTGATGATGTTACGCCTTAGTCCCCAGAAGCTATAGTCCACCTAGGCAGACTGGCTTGTGAAACTATCTGTGGCCTACAGCAGCTGCTGATCATTCAGCTGTTAGAAAGACATTGAAAAATTGGAAGGAGTTTGGAGAAAAGCAACAAAAGCAATCAGGAGACTTTTAATGTTGATTTCTATGGATAGATTACAAAAATGTGGATAAATGACAAGTGTGGAAAGGAGGGGACAGAAGATTTTCCAGACGCTTGTAAAAATATTATAGAAGGACAGAAATTATTTAGGGTAGCACATGGGAGGTATAATTAGAAGTACTGGGTTTAATTAGGAAAAGGAAAACATGGCCCAAATACAAGAAAGACTTTCAGTGGCTGTGTTAAGTTGCATTGTGTTCCTCAAAGGGTTATCATTTACATCGTACACAGCAAGAAAAAATAAACATGTTGGTCAGCAGGTGGACTTCGTCAACTGCTAAGTTTTGAGTTTCCTTACAGACCTATTGCTGCTTTGGTTGGCTGGTTGGTTGGGTTTTTTTGTGACTGACACGAATCGTGGAGGGGAATGGCAGGCATCATTTTCAGACACTGTGAGCCTACCTGTCCAACCAGAGGTCCAAACAAAGGCTCTCTGGCAGAGGAAAATCTGCAAGACAAAAGCATACTAATTGCAGGCTTTTGATTAGCATTTGCTTTATGTCATTCAGCTCAAGATGAGCAATAGATACCCAAGAGAGGGCGTACTCATCCTAATAAGCAATTAGGGTTCCTAAAACTGAACATTATTTTCAGGAATCTTCAGTTCAGGTGGAATTTCCATCTGAAATCCCTGAAAAATGGTTGGCAGGCATTGATGTAGTTGACTATTTTTTTTCCATTGTTTTCACCATGTAGTTTGGATTACTAATTCTCTGGTTTTACACCCGTGTTCTGAGCTGACATTTGGCAAATGAGATTTTAGCTCAACAACTGTTCTGCATCATCCAGCTGTCATAAAATGCGGTTTAATGTTCATTAGCATAAAGCTTAGGACAAAAACTATTTTTAAAAAGTATCAAGATATTTATTATCAAGTTTGTGGTAGGGGATAATTTTTAATTTATGCAGGTAGACTGTTAGCTGATACAAGCTCATAGAACAGATAGTAAAACTATATACATCTGTACTGGCGGAGAGTCGAAGGCTTTGTTATTTAAAAAGGAAATAAGCCCCTTGTCACCTGTTAGAAATAAAACTTAAGTTCTGCATATGGAAAATGGAAAAGTTGAATATCAAAGATAATTTACAGATTGATTCTTCAGAGCATTCTTTTATGTTTACTTCATGTGAAAAAAGGAAGAGAAATATGCAGTAGGGCTGTGATACAAACTGTTTCATGCCATAATCACTTATATGAAAAAGTAGCAGAGGGAGGGAGGGAAAGAATACAATATTTATTTTGTAATTATTGTCTTGCTTTTGGTTCCTACTGAACTGTGAATGAGCAAAGTCATGAGTATCTTGAAGTACCAGAAATATATGTTCATGTGATATTTTCCAGCCTACTTTCATTTAAGAAAGATTAATCTGTCTCTTGGCACCAACAAATTATCTAAGGTTTGTCTATTCCTAGACTTTAGGGGAACTGGGGAGCCCTAGAAACAGAAATGCCAGTATCCAATTGTCAGTCTGTGTGCCTTCCAATTTTTACTCCAAAATACGAACCTGACAAATGTGTGTAAATTACTTAATTTTTGAGTTTTTCACCTGCTAAGAGACCATGTACATGTACTGCTGCTGATAAACCACACTTGCTGCATAACAGATGAAAAACATATAATTTTCACATCCTTCAGTTAAATATGTACCAGTGAAGTTTTGCAGTAACAGTGGTTTTCCTTGTTTATGGACTCACTGTGTCTGGTTTGATGGGTTGAGTCAACATGTTTCCTTAATTGTTTTGTGACTTCTCTTCTTACCTGTTTTTCTTTACACGCTGGTATACACACATCTTCTCCTCCTGCAAAGAAGCTGGCAAGAACCTGAGTTAACAGCAAGAATTATGTGGAATACACTCCATTAAGGCTACCAAAATTAATTTCAGAGTTCAAACGTCCATTTTCATATTGCACTGAATTATATTGTCTACACTTAGAATTTTCCTTTATGGCATCCCCTTTCCCAAGATATGTGTTTCAGAATCTTTAAAACTATTTATTCAGAAGAAATGGGGTAATTTGGTGAACGAAGCTGTTAAGGGTTCATTCTTCATTATAGAGCAGAGAGCAATAATGATTGGGCTCTTGTTGGGGGAAAAAAACCCAAAACACACAACATAAAAAAACCTCAAAACCACTAGCAGTAGAATAATGTTGCAACTTTACAAGAAAACAAAATTTTAAACCGGCTATCAAAATTTTAAAAACCGGCTATCTCATAGTGGTTCTCAGCTTTAGAACTGTCTGGGTATAGGTCAGCATAGAGACAGTTTTCCAGGTATTGCATGAATTAACTGTAATACCCTGAGACGTTTCTGCTCTGTTCTGTGCTTTCAGAGTCAACTTTCCATTTCATTACCTCTGCTGGCCTTAATTTCCTCCTAAGCAGGAGATGACGGCGCTGTCTGTCTATCTTCTAAACTTTTAAATTGGCTTTCTTTCCACTTACGAAAGGAAATAAATTAGATCAGAACATTTTGTGTGAAATGTAAGTTTCAAACCTCATCTTTCTTTTTCTTTTTTTTTTTTTCCTTCCCAAAAATACTCCTGGTTTGCAAAATACAAGCTAGAGAGCTTTCTTTTTCTTTAGGAAAAGTGAAAGAAGTAAAATAAACTCTAGTTAAATTTCTGTGCTCCAGTAAAACTGCTTATGAGATTAGCACACAGAGTTTGGAACATGGCCTGTTAAAAGATAAATGTTTCTGCAGGAGTCTTCACCATATATTTAATCTCACTTTGTTCCAAGGATTGTCTCAGTGTTAATAGTGTTAGTCTACTGTAAACCTGAATAGCAGCCAGGCACTCGAACGGTGTAACGAGGT